CCGTGGAGACACCGCCAGAAATGCGGCCAGGAGACAGACGGGAGCTGGGCCAGATGCGGGGTCCTGGGGGCGGGGCCTCGCGGGGGCGGGGCCTCGCGGGGGCGGGGCCTCGCGGGGGCGGGGCATGGCTCCGGAAAGGACTGGCCCGTTGTGGGGCGTGGCCTAGGACGACCCTGTTGGGGCGTGGCCCGCGTGCTGAGCGCCTGCCCAGTGATGCCGGCGCCCTCGCCGCAGGAAGAAGCGGAGCGGGAGCCCCCGGCCGTCCCGTGACTCCGACTCTGGGGGGCGGGGAAGAGCCTTGCGGGTTTATCTTGCACTAATCCCACGAGCCCCGAGGCCGGGATCTACTGCTGCTGAGTTCACCAACGGTGCATTACACACGGGGTGCGGGGAGGGGCGGGCAGGCGGCGCCCCGCACAGGCCCTGCGCGTGGGTGGAACCTTCCGGAAGGACCGGTGCGGCCCTGTGCCCGCCTCCCCTGCCCTTTGTGGCCCGGGGCCCCGCCTGCGCCCCGTGTCCACGTCTGTTACCTCACCGGCTGCCTTAAGGGGGGAGGGGCGGGGAGGAGGGGGAGGGAGGAGGGGGCGGGGCCAATACAGCATCTTCTTAAAAACCCGCGTCTGCGTCTTCCTGCCGTCCGTCCGGGGGGCGGGGCGGGTCCCTCCCCCGGGCCCCCAGACCCGGCCCCCGAGGCCCCGCCGCTCCTGGGCAGTGCGATTCCCCCACGAACCGCCAGGCCAGACAGACGGACGGACAGACAGGCAGCTCGAGGGGGACGTGCACGGAGCTTTATGGAAGGACGTGTGTGGACGGCGGGGAGGGGCGGGCCCTGCACCTGCGGGGGGGGGACCCCGCCGGCCGACCCGCCCCCCTCAGGCGGGGGCCCGCGACGCCCTGGCGGCCTGGAAGCCCGTCTTGTGGGCCCCGAAGGCGGTGATGAAGATGTTGACCACCACGGTGATGAAGACCAGGGTGGTGGCGGCATTGTTGAGCTGGTTCAAGCGCCACTGGTTGCCGACCTCGTTCAGGTTCAGCCGGGCTGGGAGGAGATGGGGGGCAGGTCAGAGATGGCGGGG